TATTATTATTATCATTAATATCATTATTATCATTATTATCATTATTATCATTAATATCATTATCATTATTATCATTATTATCATTATCATCATCATCGCTGTCATTGCCATTACTATTAGAGCAACTGCTCATCTAATATACCAATCCCACTATATTAAAATTCCAACTTGGTTACCAGGGGAACAAAGGAAAAGAAATAAAATATTCATTCCTGAACCTCGAGGTGATTTCGTTATGTTTTATTCCCCTGAGCCCTAGAGCCTAGTGAAAAATTTCAATATATTGGAATTGGTCATTACTAACTAAGATGATGCAAACTGTTCCCTGAAAATCAATGACTCAGTAATCATAAACAGTAAATCAGACTATTGATAATACGAACCAAGAAAGTTTTAACACTGTACTCACTGGAGCTACATGTAAATTTTTGTTAGATTTATGGAATATTTAGATGAAAGGGGGAATTATAATGTAGTTGTAGCAATAAGTGTCAGTATTTCACACAAATAAGTTTCTTATGGTATTTTTACATCTTTTGTAGATGGAGGTTGGTCATTCATGCTGGCATCAACAGTTTTTCAAAATTGATAATGCTCTTTAGGTGTCCTACAGACAACAAGGCTGTACTGTCTTAAACTTTGTACAAGAAGCATTTGACATTGTAGATAAGGACTGAACAGTGTTCCTTGCGCAAACTGTGTACGAGAGACCAGGTTGCAGAAGTGTGTTTTTGAGTCTTAGAATTAGAAAGGGACGGCCCTAGTGTATAGCATCTGAGCTAAGATTCATAGATTAAGTTAAAAGTAGTCCAGTATCAGCTGAAGGATTGTTTCTTACAACAATTTTTGGGCTTCCTTCAAGAGTTTTAATCTGACACTGGAGGAGAAAACATTGATGTTGCTTTGCTCATTACTTTGTTCATCGATGTTGCTTTGTTCACTACCCCCTGACAGGGGCAGCCATACTGCCAAGCATACCGTCCACAACCAGAGGATTGAGTGCCTATGGTGTGACCTATTTACTGGCTGGACTTATGTATTTTACTGCTTGTTTTATCATATGGATGAAGTTGGGGTCCTGGAATCAGATAATCAAATATATTTGGCAGCCCTTCATTTTATCTTTCTGGCTGCCTAGAATTAATCCCCATTTGCATACTTTTGAATCTGGGCATTAAACACTGGTCCCATCAGCACTGAACAGAACAATTTCGAGAGCAACTTTCGTTAAGGGGTATGCTGGCAGATCAGAAATGCAGACTTTAAAGTGTCACATGAGTTCAGGGAAGAGGTAAATCAAGATATTTAATGTGCTCAGTCAGTCCTTACAGTAAAACTTAAAAAGGGGTAAACACTACATTCTTGGACAAAACTAATCAAAACATAAGAGTTTCGCACATTTTCCCAAATGTCCTGACTTGCAAGCGGGTTAAAACATTTCATTCCCATTCCCCCAACTCAATGTTGTTGCTTCAGCATTGATTCCATTGAAATGGGGGAGGGGAGACTGAAAAACTGTACTGTGGTGCCTAAATTAGTGGAAATCTGCCAAGTGTTTCAACAGTTTTGTCCTAGATTATAGAATTATTTCTGGAATATTTCCTGCGTTGGGAGAGAAAACCAATCAGATGCCATTTCTTGTGGTTCCATCTTGTCTACTTGTCCATGATTTAGGTAGTCAGCATAGTATTAGACAACCTTAAGCTTAGGCTATACCCAGTATGGGACTCAGTAAACATGGGGCTACAGACGTAAGAAAAATAAATTGTCATAAAAAGCACTTTTTTATTTAAATTGTGTAATGGTATTGTTAATCTAACTTGGCAAAGGACAGATTTTATACATTCAGTGTAACTTGGGTAATATTTCAATGGTTAGCAGGTAAACTGGGATGACTATAGTGTTGACTATGATCCATGGACCAGGTACTTGTCAGCGTTGGGATGGTCAAGAGCAAGTTGAAGTACCACATACAATACTAATCTTCCAAGTGTTAACCCCTGATGATTCTGTGGAACTTTTACTGAAGGTAAATCCTTTGGATCACTCAGATTTCCATGGTGTCTACCTGTATTTGGAGACTGTCATCTTTTTTCTTGAGAAATGTAGTAATAGGACTTCCTCTCGATTTTTAACGTTTTTGTATGATGAAACAGTCTTTGAAGAGTGATCTTTTTCCCCTTCGCATTACTGAGCTAATGGGCATTACAACAATTACGTTACCAATTGATTTGCATTCCTTTTCAGCAGTTTCCATCAGTGATTAATAAGAAATTTTCCATTCAGAATTTCTACGAATATTAAAAGCTCACGGCACACAATGTTTGCTCTTCTCAATAATTTGCCATAAGCTTATCAATTATGGACAAAGTTATCAAGCAACGTTTTACAGTTACATGAAAAGCAAAATTCATTATTATTTATAGGGACATTGGTAAGATACCTGAATTTCTGTCTCGAAACCTCTTTATCTTTACTGCCTGCTGTGAACGCGCCATTTATGTCTTCACGTAAAAAAATGTTTATGTCGTCATCATAGCCTCTGTGAGAGTACAAACTTTCCTTTGACGAGAACTTGCTAAAATACATCTTAAATTAGTCTTTGGGAAACGTTCTAGCTAATTAGAAATAAATCTTTCTTTAACGAAAGTAAGACAAGAGACAACCTCTATACCCTAAATTGATAAAAAGCGAGTGATGGAGCTACCTTCGACATTTTTACCTCCTTACGTGCAGCCAAAGCTGCAGTGGCTGGTTCACTGTGGAACCAACATCGCTGATGCCTCAGAGAAGGAGTCCGATTCGCTACAACCAACAAAATCTGCAGATGTTTATTGGGGAACCAACATCGCTTAAGGCGAGTCCGATTTGCTAGAATCAACAAAATCTGCAGATGTTTATTGGGGAACCAACATCGCTTAGGGCGAGTCCGATTCGCTAGAACCAACAGAATTTGCAGATGTTTATTGAGGAACCAACATCGCTTAAGGCGAGTCCGATTCGCTAGAACCAACAGAATTTGCAGATGTTATTAGGGAACCCACATCGCTGAAGGCATCGTAGTATGTCTCAATGGAGGAGTCCGATTCCCTTGTGCCATCAGAATCTGCAGATGGTATCGACATATGATGTTAATATCTACTAAAATAACAACCAAAGAGGTCGCTGCTGTAATATCCTCACTACTCATGCTAGGTGCCTACTTTTTATCTTTTTATAAACGTGAAACTTAAAATTACCAAATTAGCGAGCTATGTTTAGAAATTATCGCACTTTCAATTTCAGAGCTGGAACGGCGTACGTCACATAAAGAAAGGATAACGGAACTATAACAAATGATTCCACGAGCAGCGCCAAATTGGCTGTAAAGAGTCTCATATCTAACAAGTGCGGATACAATAACGGTTTAAACTAAATTCCTCACAAAATTTCCATGGAAGGTTTTTAAACTTATTTTAACTTACTTGATACGAAATTGAACCAGCGAGCGAAAATGAAACTGTGGGATTCAAGTAGCGTTCACAACCTTTGTTTGTCAGCTTATTTCTTTTCACATTATCTCAGTGCGTCTCGAAACATTTTTTGACTTATTAAACATGTCTTAGCTTATATCAACTAAGCTAAGACATGTTTAATAAGTAACGATTATAACCTTATAGCTTAGGTTATATCAACTAAGTTGAAATTGTAAAATGGCCACCGTAAAGAGTAAAAAGCGAGCTAGCCCTTCTCTGACGAGGGGCTAGCTCGAAACGTCAGCTTTTTAACTCTTTACGGTGGCCAATTTACAATTTCAACTTAGTTGACATAACCTAATTACCTTGTCACCCCAACCGATGCAGTAACACTGTTTCTTTAGAAACTTACCCCCTTTATTCATCTTGCAGATAATTAATTCATTTAGGTGTTAAAAATGTCTGTGCGACACTGAAATTTCTGTGAGATACGTCAGTAAGGACTGGAGTTTTACAATTTTTTATACAGAAGTCTATCTACGGTATCTTACTCGCCTGACGAACGATTGGATTTACCTTGGCCACCGGCTTCTGTCGAGGAGAATTAAGAAAAAAGGTTGGCACACAACTAAGTTAGGGGTAGGGAAAGATGATCTCAAGGTGGCTACTGGAAACAACATACAGGTTAGAGAGAGTAAAAAGAAACAGGCAACCTCATGTATAAAATGCTTGAATTTTTTTTTCAAATCGAAATAATGATAAACGCATGTCACGAAATCCTTGTTGGCGTGTCCCATACACTTGTTTTAAAGGCAAACAATAAATAATTTCATCGATGAACCTACACCCATCACAGATAGGGAGCCCAATTATTTGCTAGTTAGTAAAGACAGAAAAGGCAACACTTTTTTGATCAACTTACGATTATTTTAAGATCTTTGCATTACAGGACTATCTGATTTGGAATGTTTCTTCTATGGACGATTACCTCAAAATCAGGGAAACTCATCTTATCATTGCTCTTATTATTACTTTTATCATTTTGAGTAATGTTTTCATCATTTCCATTAATACCATTACCTTTATTTTTGTCATGATTATATTATCAATTTCATTGTTTTTATTATCATTATAATTATAGATTACTCTTTCTTTATGCGTAAGTCGGTTTGGTACTTAAGTGTCATAAAAATTAAAATGTGACTTTCTCAAGCAGCAGGAAGCAGTTTAAAAGAAAAGCTAAACCATAAATAAATAAAAAGGATACTTAAAATATACACATTTGAGCATTTTTGATTACAGATAAGTTTGTTTAGAATACTTATATAAATACTTCACCTCCAGACACATACAACATTCATCGTGTCCAGAATCAGGTCTGCATTTATGTTTTCCTTCAAGACGTTTGTCCAGGCATACGTTACAAACATCACAGTGGAAGGATCTGTCTCTATGGATTCTATAAAAACTCTTAAAATTAGCAATAGAGAATCAAATCTGTTACTTTTAATCTCGCATTTTTAGTACACGAGTGTTTCACAAAGCCTAAACTGATGAAAACGACAAAACCTTGTCCACATTTCCGTGAGATGGCAGAATCGTTGCTTCCCAACCTATCAGATGAAGTACTAATTCGTAGCAAAGTATCAGTGTCAGTACTCTTCAAAGTACAAAAGAGTTGAGGTGATGCTCAAATCGTCTCAAGTCGGAGACAGAATTATATCTTGTATACAATGCAAGATTCTCCAGATCTCTTTATTCGTCTCATTTTGTAAGTCTACAAGTCATGCAAAAATCGTTTTATCATCTTACCTAAGGATACCACATTTTTCGCAGTGGAAGCGATTTTTATCCACGGAGGTATAATAGCAACGCGTTGGGCAGATATATTCAGACATGATTGCATTGCAGCCGCCACATCTCTGGCCATTTTCATCGATCTGAAATGGATGAAAGAAACAAGGATGCAATAGTTTTTTTTTTCGTTCGGGACACTAAGCTCAATCAGCTGTTCTTGAATAAGATTAGCTTATATCAGGGTGAGGTGTTATAATCCAAGATAACTTATTTTAACAAGAAAATTGAAGGCCAAAGGATCATAAACAAGAATCGTACCTCTTGCTTGTGATAGCAGATGTGAGCGGCATTAATTGCTCTCGCCTGATCCTCACTACAATCTGACTTGTTGTGACAGCGGTGGCATCGGAAGAGCTTTCCACAGCAGGGAAACCAAACCGAGCACCGACATTGATAATTACTGTAAACAGGGCGTGGACTTTCTTGTAGAGGTGTTGCCATAGGTTGTCGCTCGGCGTCTATCGTCGTTTCATTTGATGGGGTAGATTCTACTTGACTGTTTGTCTCATTAATCTGTTGTGTTAAGACTAGTTTCCGTTCTCCCATACCGCTCGTTTCATCCTGCACGCCTCTCTTTTCGACTGACTGGTTTGCGGGTTGAGTTTCCCCCGTGTCCGTAGCATTTGAGACAACAAGCCGAATATTATTGGCCATTATCTCTTGAAGACGTCGAAAACTACTGGCCAACAAATATTCTGTTGGTGTATGCTCGTTCTCACTCAGTGGTAGTGACTGCCCACCTTCGTTAGCTATGCTGTTGGCGTATTCATTAACCATTGAGCCCATGTCATTATAAGCACATGTCATTATAAGCACACGTATTGAAGTGTTTCTCACGGTTAGCATCAAAAGATTTTGGCAGCGATGTTACATTAGACTCGCTTGTCCTCTTGGCAAAGCATTGACTTCGCACCACTCTATCTTCCCAGGACTCTGAGGATGGAAAATGCCAGCTTTCTTTTTCATTTTTGTTAGGTGGCGATACGTGATAAAAACTAAAGGTTTTGGTTACTGATGCGTTATATACAGGAACTCTCATATTAAATTTATGGGCTATATCGTGTGGAATGAACTCTTTCTTGTCGGGTGAGTTCTGACCTTTGCCTTTTAAGACTTGGTCATGACCATTAGATGAAGAGTACTCCTGTTCGTAATCTTCCTGCCACGGACCGTCTAATGAAGCAAGATTATAGTTGCCCCCGCAGTGAAACGAAGGAAATGGGCTACTCTCTTTGATGTGGCGTGCCATAAAGACAGGGTCTAGGCCCGGATTTTGTAATTCGAAGTCACAGTAAGCTGAAATTGGATTTGTAATGCCGGGCCATGGTAAGGGGCATTTGGCGTTATCTGATGATCTCTGTTTGGGTCTTGCTCCTCCGTCACCCGAGTGAGATTGAAAGAACTCAGTCTTACTTTTAAGAGGATATCTGTGTTCACAGAGCGCATCTCTATCTGTAGGTGACTCCTTTTCGCTACATGAAATTACACTTTTGTGTTTCATGTTTGCTGTGAACCTCTCGCCGGCATTAGATGCCTTGTGCAAATTTTGTGTGACTGCTGATTCATCTACAGTATCAATGTTATTGAGATTGTCTTCACAGCTTTCGCCGTCAGCAACAACATCGCCCCCTTGACACATCGATCTGGTGCTAGTTTTGTAGCGGTTTGAGATAGTGGCTTGTGACTTAAAATATATCTGACCATATAAACATGTTGGCTCTATTGCTCTTAAGCCCTGGTTCAAAGATTTCGCTCCATTTTCCTCGTTTAATTTGGGCCCGTCAACGAAATCTGTCTCGCTTAGAAAACCTACCACGTTACTTTGATTACTTCCGAGTGCCTCAAATGTTCTCTCTGTTGTCATCTCGTTATGATCAGAACAAGATGTGCTTTGCTTTTCTGGTGTGTTGGTTTCTCTTCTTATGGTTTCCACCCCACTTCGCTCCCTGCCCTCAAGGTCTTGTTTTCTAATGTTAAAGTTACTTACATGAGGTTTCAGTTGTCCTTGCCCCTCTCGATCAACTCCGATAGCATCTTCTACCTCGAGTTTAGGTATGAACACAAAGTCGAGACTGTCCTTGTCAAAATGTTTGGCGAGTACTGATGCATCAACAGCAAGGTCCTTGTGGCTGTCGCCGTCAGTAACATCACTCCCTTGACACAAGAATCTGGTGGTAGTCTCATTGCAGATTAAGATGGTGGCTTTTGACTTGGAATGTAGGGTTGGTTCTCTTTTTTCCATAAAATGCATTCCATTTTCCCCGTGTAGGTTTGGCCCATCCACAGTTTGTGTCTCATTTAAAAGATCCACCACGTTATTTTGGCGTCTACTGGTATCGTTGTTCATGGATGAATCTGTCAAAACTTCTCCTGCAAGTGCCCCAAGTTTTTTCCATGTCGCCTTGTCGTCATAATCAGTACAAGGAGGTTCTTGATTATCTAATGCATTGGTTCCAAATCCTGTGATTTCCACCTCGATTCGTTCGCTTCCTTCCACACTGTGTTGTTTTCTCCTCTTAAAGCTATTCACGACAGGTTTCGTTTCCCTTTCCACTTCTTCATCAACTCTTAAAGTGTTTTGTACCTCTTGGTTACGTGAGGGAGTCTGTTTGTTGGTATTATTATTAGTGTTTTGCTTGCTTGAACGAACATCATTTCTCGCCGTCTCTATGTTCTCAGCGTACGTCTTCCTTTCCGAAAGGCTAGAGCTGTCGCTTTTACTAGAGGCTGCGAAGGAGGTCTCTCTTTCCAGCGTTGTTTTAGGCAAGTGGCTGCATACGTCCTCTAAGTGCTTACAATCTCTTACGTTATTAGTGACTGGGTTTTGTGGTAAAGGATGTTTTCTCAGGAGTTTGTCATCTGCCTTAGCCGTCATGCCCTCATGTGAACTAATCCTATGGCTATTTTCCTGAGTACTGACATTTCTGGAACTGAGAATTGGGTTAGGTTTTATGGCCTCTGGGTTTTGGTACGGAACCTCCAAATTACCACAGTTGCTACCATTTTGCATAAGGCTTGACTGCAAGTTTGAAACATTATATGGGTCTGCTCGGTTGGATTGAACTGAATCATCTTTATTGGAGTTCAGTTGGTTTTGTTGCTTATCCTTCAAGCCTTTTTGCAAGTCGGCCATAAAAAAACGTCTTGACTTTCTATCGTCTTCAAATAGACGTTTCCCCTCCAATATCTCACAAACGTCTTCTGTGGCCATGGATTCGTCACCATGTTTGCTTGTGGTAGTCTCAACAGTGTTAATGTTAAGAACGTTCAGCGTACGCTTATTATTTTCAATTCCTTCTGAACTCTCTTTCAAATGCTGATGTGTACTCGAAGTGTTTTCCTGGTCTTGCTGATTTTGAAAGGAAGCAGCCAGACGTCTTACGTCATCGTCACCCAGATCCACCAAACTTACTTTATCCTCCCTGGAAATGCATTTCTCGTCTTCCAGACTTTCATGAGCATTGTGACATTGATCCGGATCCGCCAGACAGATGTCATCGTGAGTCACTGGACTTTCCACGCTGTAAAGCAGTCGTGATATCTGGCTGACAGTCATGAGACACTCTTGAATTGTCTCTCTTCTTTGTTTTTGCCTGTCTTCCACTTCAGAAGGGACACTCTGAAATAAAGTTTTTTTTGCAAAGTAAATATTAATTTTGAAATAAAACTTTGTAAGGAGTTAAATATCAAAATATACGAGTCTGATTTAAATCAGCTTTTTGTCGTTTGTATTTCTGTTGATCACAAGCAATGGCATTGTATAAACTTAGGATGATCATTTGCTACTTTCGTTTAATTTTTTGGGGCCCATAATCAGTATTGCAGTTTTTGTCTCGTCGATGTTGTCTAGGGTAGGTAGGGCGTGAAGCGTATGACGCATAATTCCATCATTCAAGTCAGCTCAGAGTTCATTGAGTCAATAACTAAAGCTCAGTTTTACTCTTCTTGATTAAATGTAGGCAACTTCAATTTTAACAATCAAAAGAATGGCTCTTTTGACACTGCTTGGCACTCTGATCAGTTTTAATGAATACTTTATGACTGGAAATGGCAATTGAAATCATATTTTGACCTGTACGTGATTACAAGCTACGCGATGAAATGCCAATAAAGAAATTGAAATAACGAAAGACGAAGCCTGAGAAAACAAGAATCATGAAAGCTCCGACGGGACTCGATCCCGTGTCTCCTGGTTGGACGCTACCACCGACTGAGCTACGGAGCCATACCATACAATTTTTCCCGACTTTCATTTTCTACAATTTCCTCGATTTGTTTATTCTAACATAGCATTATAGAAAGGAAGGAAATATGATTATTTTCAGGCCGCGATATCTGCATGGATTTCTGTTGCATCTTCTGTCAAGTTCTTTATTTACTACGTGAACAATTTCATTGCTGACTTTGAGAATTCCTTTTCCTCATAAGGAGTTTATTTGTTTCCGCTATTTTTTTGAAAAGTACTGTAAGCAATCAGATATATTACGTTGCTATCGCTCTTAAAGAAACGTGCTTGCTCCATTTCGAAAGAATTAGGGGTCATTACAGTATGCGTTTATTTCTGAAATTCTTTGTGGTTGTTCTCAGCTATTTGAACGGTTGTAACTATCTAGTGAAAGTGACGAACAGCTGCTTGCATATTTGAATTAGCTTAGATAGGGGACCAAGTAAAACGCAGAGATAAGAAAACTTTAGAAAAAAGGACAAGAAGAGAAAAATAATACAAAGAAACAAACAGATAATACTGCAAAGCCTTAGGGGCACCAGACTAAAGGGTGTGAGACGCACACACACTGTTTATTCACAGAACAGTTTATTGACACTAAACAAATTTGACCTCAGATGACTGTAGCAATCTCAAATTGTCCGTCCGTATTACCGCAAATTTTTTGTAAAATGGATTCTCTCAAATTCGGAATGAATAAACCATGCATCTCACGGATATTAGTCTGAATGGAAAGACGTTGCTTAGTAACAAACACTTATCCTTTGCACGGAAGCTACTTGCGCAGCCGTTAAACAGTGGATTGTCTAATCTTTCAGTGCCAACAAAAGTATTCTTTGGTCCTAACTGATATCAAATATCAATTAACTGACACTAAACAAGGGAGAATGTTGCGTAAGTTCAAAACCTAAACTAACAGCAGCCACGAACGCGAATTTTGTTCGTCAGTCACACCGGTCCTTTACTCTTCTTTGCATCGGAACTTTTGAGAAAATTCCAACAGGCGTAGTTACAGAATTGGTATCTTCCAGTATGCACTCTGGCAGTTCGTGGATGCCAATCCGTTCCGGCAACAATTTCGCATATTCGATCCAGGGACCAGTGTCATCGCCATGTGTCAGGCGAAATTCCAAACTCTTTCTCTTCATTTTCTGTTGAGAAGTTCTCAAACCACTCCTTTGTTAGCTGCTGCAAAGTTGCACCTGTAGTCGGATAACATCTCTTTAGGATGTCTACTGCTCTCGGCCATTTAATACAAGAACAGGACGTAAGCCATTTCGAGACGAACTGCTCTTTAAGGATAAGTGCCAGAACAGTGCTTTTTCTGCCGTCCTTCGTCATTCAAAGATGAAAATGGGCCTCCAAAGTTGACTGCTGTTAGAGCTAGGACACTTGCTTGAGATCTAATGTACAGGGATGGAGCTAAATTGTCCCCTTCGAAATTCATTGCAGATCCTTTTGTATTTCAAAATCTCGCCACGTTCAGACATGATCCAGAGTCGCGCCGTTAAGATTTGTTTACTTCCATGCGCACCTTTTTTCATATGGTAATGCTTGACTATTAGTT